GCCTAGCTCTCCACATAGTTGTTCCCTACAGCCATGGCTGGAGCAAGGCAGGAGCAGCTCTCTGGCTCCCCTCAAGACTGCCTTAGCCAGGGACAGTGGTGGCAGGGGGCAGGGTCCTCCTTCCAGTGCCTGCTCCTGGACTGTGAGGGACTATGGGCAGTGGCAAGGAGCAGATGCTGGAAAAGGAAACCTACCTGCTGCCTCTTCCCTTACTTAGCCCAGCACCCGTTGCTGCTCTCTGCAGCCCACAGTTAAAGCGGGACATGCACAGTCCTGCAGCTGCCCCCATGCTCTGGCCAAGTGGGACAGTGGCAGTGGTGGGTGACTGTGTCTCCATCTGGCCAAGTGGGACAGTGGCAGTGGTGGGGGACTGTGTGTCAAGCAAGTCCCAGGGCTCCAAGTGCAGTGAGCAGTTGTTCAGGTTGCTGGGCTTTTCTGGGGACAGCAGAAATGGTGGCAGAAGAGAGGGTCTGACTGTACCAGCGCACCCTCGTTGGATCTGCCCCTGCCCCTCTGAGAGACAGAAGCGGGTTGTGACGATAAATGCATGGGGAACTGTCAGATGCTTAGATATCATAGTCATGGGGCCCTACCACAGTGTTAAATGTATGGCGTAGACTACAACATTAGGCCTGATTTGCTAATTGCCCTCATTGCTGTAAATCAGGAGAACCATGGAATTACAATGGTACACGTCAAAGCAGAGTCAGAGTCATTATTGCTGTTAAAAAGGTGGTTGGTCCCAAGCCATAGATCATGTTTCTGTATTGACCTTTTAAGCATGCTGCCTAAACCTAGGAAAGTCACTCATTTCTTGGAAACAATCCATGATGCTCAACTTTTTGGCTGATCTCCAGACTCTTTGAACAGACTAGCTCAATAATTGCTCCTGAGGAACAGAAGTAGGCTGGGACCAAGACTGAGGATTTCACCACCTGAGAGGCTTTGATGGTTTAGATCTGACTCAAAACTTTGTGCGTTGGGTGCATCTTTTGGGACACCTGAGATGTTGATGAGACCCTTTGGACCACTTAGCAAGAACATTCTCTTCTTACTTGGTATATCGGGATTTAAACTTATTTAACCTCCAGATTTCTAGAGTACAAATAAAGCAGGATGGACAATGCTTGGAAAAGTTTTTGTTTTCATCAACCTTTTCTGAGGTGAATTTATTTATTTGGTTTTGGTCCCAAAACTGGAACAGACATATTTTCAACGTAATGCTACCCGTTTTTGGGGATCAGTGTAAAAAAGGTCAGCTTTACAATGTCGCTTCTAAAATATTGCAAGACAAGTAGATCCTTTCCACAAAAAATGTAGCTGAAAACGCAACTTTCCATCCAAAAAAAAGAAGCCCTAAAACAAAAATGTTTGACCAAGAATAATTCTAAGTAGCCCTAAATGGAAGTTGACTCCCAGGGGCAGATGTATTTCTGGGTACAGAACCCTACAATCTATGTGTGGGAAAAAATTGGCCCATTTTAGTCCACCTGCTTGCAGCCAATGCAGGATTATTCCCTACTGTACATTTACTTGTGCTTGTTCCAGTTGAGAACTGGCCTTTTGCTGTTCCACATGGGGGAAAGCAGGTGAGATCTGTGCACGAACAGTATTTCTTGACCAACTCTTTTGCAAATGGTAGTTCCACAGATTACATAGTTCCTGAGAGCTTTGTTTTTAAATTGTTGTTGTCATTAAGGTAAATTTTAATGATAATGAAGTGGAGGGACTGGGAGTATCACCTACAATTAGGCATAATGCATCTATCAGATACTTTATGTGGCTCCCTTATAATATTAGGGGACCTCACAACATCCGTGGGAGGTAGGGAAGTGGTATTATCTCCATTCTAAAGGTGGGGAACCAAGGTGGAGAAGAATTAAATGACTTGCCCAAGGTCACATGGGTAGTCTGTGACAGAGCAGGTTCCCTGAACCTGAGGAAGGCTGAAGACTGCACCCCACTCATTCTTCCTCTCTTATCTGAATCTTGGTATAACTCTTTACTTACCCAGTCACTTAGGCTCTGGCAGTTCCCTGTTACATATCCTCATCCTTGCTATGGTATCAGTATCTATTGTTAACTTAATATGACTCCATTCAACTGAGCCAAGTGTGGACAAATTAAACTGAGAACTGCTGAACTCATTTCTCTGAGGATCTCACAAGGCTTGTCCAAATCTCAGACCACCCGATTGCTGCATGTTGGCCATTTTAGTACTTTCATGAGCATGATCTGGTACAACACAAGGCATCTGGTAGATTAAGCTTTGCCAGCAGCTCTAGCTTGTATTGGCCTTTCTTCTACAGGTGAAGCCTCCTTACTTTGATCCTCAGGTAGGGACTGACTCTGAGTGACAGAAAACCACCAGCCAGGAGCCTGTAGTTCAGGCATGACCCCTTTCATTTTGGCAAACAGAAGTTGCTTAGACCTCTGCCCTGCCCTAGGTCTGAAGAAAAGACAAGTAGCCCTAAGCTATTTGCTGGGGAGGATTGATGGGGCAGCACAGTGATCTCTGGACATGTGACACCTTTGGTGCTGACCCAGAGGGGCCTTGCCCAACTAGCAATATGAGGGGATTATCCGAGTGGGCCCTTGTGAGAGATGGAGCTGGAGCCAAGAGGGGAACAAAGGGGGCATTCAAATGCGTTTGCTTCACTGCTCTCATTAAGGAGGCTTAGGGGATCCTAGTCAGAAAGGAGTCTGTGTTTGTCATTCCAGGCTACCTCGGGTCTCGTGGCTAGATGTTAGCAATTTAGCAGGGATTACCATTGCCTGTGAGGTATTATGCAAACCAAGTACAGCTCCATTGTGCAGACATGAGCAGAGGAGGAAGTCATATCATACAATGTGGTTGCCAGTCTGTGAACCTCTCCTAGCCTGTATCAGCAAAAGTATGAGAATAGCAGTACAAGGTTGTAGTTGTGCAGAGCCTAGCACCCTGTAGTCCTGGTCCACGGCCAGTGCCTCTAGGTGCTAATCGCTCAGTCCTAATAGTAATCATGATTAGGGATAGACTGGGCAGGAACATCCTTAACAAGGATTAGGTGTTGATCCTTGCATCTTTGCTGGTGGATGGAGGCAGGGGAGTATGAGAGCAGCTGGAAGCAAAGAAGGAGCATGACTAATGCCATTTTTGATCCTTCTCATGCTGAAACATATAGATGATGTGAAATTAAACTAAGTCACTGGCTCTTCTACAAGGGATGGTGTGGGGCTAAATTGTGGCATTGCCTACCAAAAAGGTTGCCCCCCCCCCCCCCCCCCCCCCATTGCATTAAAAAAGGGAAAGGACATGAAAACTAAATTTACCTCTATCCTAAGATAAAATTGTTGTTCTCCAGCTCTTTTTATGGAGCAAAAAGGCTATAAATTAATGTAATCAATTAAATGTTATGAATTCATCTCTGATACCCACACACTTAATGACCTACTAGAAGGGAAATCTAATTGCATCAAACCTGATGCTGACAATGATCATCCATGTCTCTGCTGACTGTTTCAGCCTTGACCTTGTTTAAGTCTTGGGCATAGCAAATCCCTTCCTCTGGTATTTCAACAATCCTGTTATGCTCAAATGGGAAAGGGAAGTTATTAGAGTGCGGCTGTGCTCCGAAAACAGTCCCTTCCAAGAGCTGCTTGCTTTATTTGTTACAAGCACTTCGCTGAGCACATTTTTTCTCCATGAAGTATGTGATTTCAAGCATCTCTGAAGGTTTTTATTGTACAGAACTCCACCGTATGCTCTGTAGAGGGCATATCTATACCATATCCATCATGCACCCATGAGGCATGCTGAGACTCATGCTCTACCCACCTCTTTCTGCTCGCTATGTGCCAATCCTGGAAATGAGTTTGTGAAGCCACTGCCCCCTGGAGACAGATCTCAAGAGAAGTCTCAGATGATGCCCTCAGTGTGACTTCACTGCCTGGTCTTTCCTATTTTGCCATGGAGGGGTGGGTAGGTCAGCAGGGTGCGCTTGCATGATGCTCCCAGGAGCATTGGGAAAGCTGAATAGAGGTGCCCAGCCCTAGGTCAGCTGTTTTAGCGCTGCAGGACCAGGACCAGGTTGGCCAACATATCCTGCCCACAGTGATCCAGGCCCTGAACTGTGCCCAGTGAGACTGAAGGCAAAATTCAGTGTTGTGCCTTTTACTCCTCAGCAACACAGTTTGGGTTTGAATTGGCAGCTTTGTGGTTTGTGACTTCTTGCTGCCCTCAAACTCAATGCGAGACAGATCTGTTGCAACTTCTTTAGGTGTGAACGGTATGTAGCAATCTGCCATAAAATGCCTCTGTCACTGCACCCTGTTTGGAAAGCAAAGAAAGGGTGACAGTAGTAGAAGACCAGTGGGAAATGGTCTATTGGTTCAGTAGGCAGCACTTTTGCTTTGTGTCAGTACTGGGGTACCAGCCTGGGCTGGGGTGGAGGCTATTTGAGTTAGATTCCCTTAGATGAGATTTATTACCAAGATCTGAATCATAGAATCGTAGAAAATTAGGGTTGGCAGGGACCTCGGGATGGGTCATCTACTATGGCTTTTATGGTTCCTATCCAGGTGGCATCAGTGCAAGAAGAGGGCCCTGCTAGTAACTTTCCCTGGGTGGCAATTGCATTCCCTGTTATTTTAGATTCCTCCTGTAGTTTCGTTTGGAGAATGTTTTACTACTACTCCTACAGCAAGGCCAGTGTTATTGTGCACCTTTAAATTGCTGCTGTCCTTTACCTTGGAACTGTCTGCATTTTGGTGGCTGAGGAAATGAACCTTATGAATAAACCCTGCTAAATTCATCCACTGAATGGAGGCATGAATTGGGTCCAGAGTCAATACTATGCTTTGGGATCCTTTCTGATGACTAGTACCTCATGTGACTAGTGTCTCTGACTCAGTCATGAGTAGAAATGGCATTCCATCTTCTTCAGCCCTCGGCGAGGTTTATGCTACTTTAGATACATGTGACTCTGATTTTGAGTGATTTTTTTTTCCTCCCCTCCTAGTAAAACCAAATACCAAGCACAGAACAAAAAGGAAGCCCAGGGAGTGACTCATGCCTCCACAGAGCCTACCTACTCTCCAACCTGGGAGGAGAAGGTGACAGTAGAAACGGATGCAGAAGATGCTGGCCACGAAGGTGTGATTTCAGAAGGGAGCTGAATAGTGGGGGTGGGAGAGGTGAATATAAATGAGATGGCCTGATACTTGGGCCACTGACACTTTTCAAAGATGAGGGTAAATGCTAATGCTACCAAGTCAAAATGATCCCAGTACACAGCTGGGGAATGACTTCTCAACGGGCAGAACTATTAGGAATCAGGTCCTTTCAAGCCTATGTATAGGAGTTATAAATCTTTATGATTTAGAACAGAAGTTGATCATAGGAAGGTAATTCTAGCCATGGTCTAGCATTGCAAATGAAGCAGACCATTGTGTTGAGTTTTATACCTTACTCTGAAGCCTCTCACACTAGTTGCTATCAAGGCAGGTACTGGACTTGCATATGTGAAGATCATTGAGAAAGGCTATGGAGTCTCCATCCCTGGAAGCTTTTAAGTGTAGGTTAGACTGGTGGTATGCAATAGGGCTGTGCAAAATTTCAACAAGTGTTTCATTTCAAAGCTGTTTCATCACGTTTTGAGCCCAAAACAGCAAAAACAAAACAAAAGGTTTTGAAACAGCTTTGAAACGAAATGAGGGCACACAAAATGTTTCAAAAGTTTTGAAGCGTTTCGAGTTTTGAAGAAGCCTGGTGGCAGGAGTTGGGGGAGAGCCAGGGCTGTGCACCGAGCAACTCCGCCAGCCCCGCAGACCTGTCCTCCCAGCACTGCTGGACTCCTCCCAGGGGTGCAGGCTGCCAGATCTGCATGCAGGATGACAGGAAGCTGCTGCTGCTGCCTGGGGCCAGCGGCAGCACCAGTCTTCTTGGCACAGGGTGCGGGTTGTGCCCAGCACCGGTCTCAGGCGGCAGTGGCAGCCTCCTGTCATCCAGCACAGATCCAGGAGCCCAGACCCCCAGGAGGAGTCTGGCACAACCCTACAGCCCTTCTTGGGGTGTGAGCCCCCAGATCTGTGCGTAGGATGACGGGAGGCTGCCGCTGCTGGCAAGTGACACGAGTTTTGTTTGTCAGCACCTTGAGGTGCAGTTTCCCAGAAACCACTGCACCTATATCCTTGTAACTTGGCAGGCTTCATGCCCTCAGAAGGAGCTACCATCCCTGTAAGTTTCATCTAAATTAGGCATGAAATGACAAAGTTATAGGCATTTTCCTGATTCCCCATTATACCCTATGGGCAAAACGCTGAAAAGCGTCAAAACAATGAAATAGTTTTGATGAAAGAAAACTAAACAGTGCTTCAAAACAAAACAAAATGACAAAATGAAACACCGTCCTTTGAAACGGTGAAACAGAAGTCAAATGAAACGGTGCTGATTCACACAGCCCTAGTAGGCAACCTTTTCTGGCTACAGGCCATGGTGACCCACCCCAGGTCAGAGGCAGGTGAGCCTAGTACAGGGGTGGGCAAAATGCAGCCCGGGACTAGATGTGGCGCGCCAGGCCATTCTATCCAGCCCGTGGGGCCCCTAAAAAATTTAGAAAATTAATATTTTTCTGCCCCCGGCTGCCTATCATGCGGCCCTCGATGGCTTGCCAAAACTTAGTAAGAGGCCCTCCACCCAAAATAATTGCCTGCCCCTGGCCTAGTAGGTGGGCACTGGGACCACCTGCAGCCACTGCTTCTCCTGGGAGGATGCCTGCAGCTGAACCCCTGCATCCTTGGACCAGATCTAGTGATTCTGTGGGCTAGGGTTGCTAAATCCTGGGTTAGACAAACACTTGGCAAGGATGGTTTAGAGAGAGATGATCCTGCCTTGAGCAGGGGGTTGAAGTAGATGACAACATGATTTCCCTTCCAGCCCTGCTTTTCTTTGTGTTTCTGGGTAGCTTTGTTTTGGAGAAGGGTTGCTACAGCCTAGAGATCTATTTGCTCTGGGCTGGGGAGCTAATGATGATACTATTACCTAGCTCTCTTCCAGTGCTTGTTACTAATAGACCCCAGCACACTTTCCAAAGGTGGATTGTCACCCCTGTTATAGAGATGGGGAAACTGAGGCATGGGAAAGTGAACTGATCTGCCTAAGACCATACAGAGAGAGGTACTTAGCAGTGTTAGTCTGAAGTCAGACAGAAGGCAGGGTAGAGATGCACTTTGTAAACTAAAGCAGGGGTGCATAAGTTTTGTGAGCCTGAGCTCACTTCATCAGCTGCTTTAAAAGTATATGATGAAGTAAACTCGTGCTCACAAAAGCTTAAGCATCTCTGATTTAGGTGGCCTGTTATAAGTTGCACCTCTGTCCTGCCTTCTGCCTAAGCTCATACAGCCAGGCAGTGGCAGAGCTGGGAATACAGCCAAGGCACCTAGATCTTAGGCTATTCCAGTACATTGATCATTTGAGTGGCACATTGGCAGTAGTTCTGCCAACTCCCCTCAGTCCCAAGAAGGAACAGCCCTGAGACAGCTAGGAAAATAGGTCCTTATCCTGATCTGCAGGATGCCTGGCTTTGGACAGAGCAGTATCAATGCCCTTGAATCCCGACCTGTTGTACGTCTAGTCTGATTGCTTCTCGTTAGTGCTCCACAGCCTTCCTGTTTATTCTGCAGTCATTACCAGTTATTCGCTTCCCCACTGCAGTGCTGGTGGTTAGGTCTTATTTTATTGTTCCTAACTCAGTGTAGTTAAGTATATAATTGTAATAACACTAATGGAATTAGAGTTTGGGATTAAATTAAAGTCAGATGCCTGCAAAATGAATGTGGAGGTCCGTGGAAGCCAATCATGGCATTACATATAATTCCATTAACCCTGTTCATTGCTCAGATGTTGCTCAAACCAAATCAGAGAACATTTGATGTACTTACTATACCTGACTTGTGCTCACAGGAAGGACATGAGGGCAGACACACACACTAAAATAACTTTGAGCTAGATCTTCTGCTGGTGAGAATTAGCATGCTCCAGTACCAGGGGAAATATGTCATTTGGCATCAGCTGAGAGTCTGTGTGTATTTGAACCCATGCCTATATGTGACTAGACATGAAATAACAGTAGAAAATTATTTCTCTACAGGTTGATGCAGTATCTGAAAGTGGAGGGATATCGCTAAACCTTTATTTGTTTTAAAGCCTCTACATGGGGATGTCTGTATCCCAGCTGTGTTCACTTTCCCAACCCCAAGGGAAATCATTTTCCCTAGACACTAGGTTTTGTAGGTTTTACTAGACTCTTATGCCTTGTTGGCTCAGTGTGGCCATGTTCCCTGAGCTGCAGGATCCTGTGTCAAGATCTCAGTTGTTGGAACCAAAATTTGCCGGCTTGGCAAGGAAAAAAATTGTGTAAAACTTTGTAGCTCTTATGATCCTGCATCACATAGATAGCCATTCAAAAGCCCCAATTTTGTTATTAGTTCTTTGTGGGGAAAGTTCTGCATCGTGCATGTGCCTGAGGCCAAGGATTTTAAAATGACTGGTCATTTTGAGCAACTCAGTTTTTTACCCCAACTGGCAGAAGACTGATAGGGAAAAAGGAGAGAGATTTGAGCATATGACCAGAGAATTCAGTGGATCGCAAGTGGAGAATGAGAATTTCCCACCCGATAGTGGGAATCAGAGCCATAACAAAGAAGAATGGCTAACCTGAAATCTCTTAAAGAGATTTGTTTTTTCATTGGTGGGGGAGACACTGAGCACTTGGCCTCTAGAAAGCATATCCCTGTAAAGTGTTTCACGTTAGTCACCAGAAAAAATAGGTGACAAAAAGTATTAGTGACTTTTGGTAGTGTTGGAGTGATGTAGCCATGATGGTCCAGGAATTATGATGGAGGCAAGAAATGTTGTGCTTAATATTTTTTATTAGATCAACTGCACAGTTGGGGTAGACTTAGACAAGATTTTGCAAATCCAGGCAGCTCCAGTGACTTTTGCAAATGTTGCTAACTGCATATAAAATATTACAACAGTCCAACTAACCTGAAATATGTCCTAGTGCCATGTGCTGGTGAGACTCAGAAATGTCCCACTGTGTGTCACAGGGTTTATACTGCAAGCAGCTGATAGCTAGTCTATTTAAGATCAAGTAGTAGGATTTTCTGCTTTGAAACCCCAACTCTGCTGTCTCAGCAAGTCTGAGTGACCCCTGGGTCAGTGCATCCATGCAGTTGAGAGGAATCTGGGTTTGAGGAAAGTATGATCTACGTACAAGTTAATCTCACTTAATAGCAAAGACATCAAAAAAATCCCAGGCAGAAGTGCAGAGGAGGAAGAAGGGGGCTTATTCAGGGCCCAATTTAGCAATTGGCCTGTCTTTGGAAAACCATTGCATACCCTTAATTTTGTGCATATTCAGTGGCTTGCTGAATTGGCTGGGTATAACTTCCTGCTCAAATAATTCCCTGTAATGGGCCCTGAGTGAGGTAAGAGTTAAAGTTTCTCCCTGTACATGCAGCCAGTAATTAGTCTGGGGAAAGGATAGCTCAATGGAGATGCGACATAATGAGATGGTGCAGTGGTTTCCAGTCGCTTCCTTATGACAAATGGGTTAGCCTGGTGGATTGCCCCATCTCAGTCTCCTGTGGCAATAAGCCATGTTGTGACCCCAAAAGGGATGAAAGTAGTCATGGAGAGGGTTAAACCACCCTTAGCATTAAACCAAGGAAAGGAAGGAAAGAAAAGTGTTGAGAGAGATAGAGAAAGGGAGTGGATTGTGCGAGCGTTGGCTTATCTCTTCTGAGTGAAGTGTCTCTGGCTGCCTCTACGGGGTCTTTTCAATGGCTGTTGCTGTGGTGATGTTGTACTTGTTGATGGGGGAAGCAGAAAGCAAGGCCGCGTTAATGAAGGGAGAAGTGAGATCCCATTCTTTGGGTGTCAGGGCAAACGTGATGGACGGGCCTTTCCTCTACTTCAAGTGACTTAATGCACAAAGGAGCCCCGTGTGGGGAAGACAAAACCAGGGGTTAATGAGGCATGTTTCTAGCATGGAGACCAGCCAGGGAGACAAAGCAACGGCCTCACCCCTCCTCAGAGCTATCTAATCAGGTCAGCGAGCTCTCACAATGCTGCCAAGTTGGGCTTGACTTTTGCATTTAGCCTGGTGAATGAGGGCCAGACGGCAGACATTGCATCCTCCGAGTCATTACACAGCTTCACGCTTCCCTGGGCACTGCCGCAGTTTTGCATGACCTCCTTAAGAGTAGGCTTTTCCAGTGAAATGGCCTTCTGCCATGGCCACCCAAGCTTGGGAGCCCTCAGGTTGTATATCATAAACGTGGCCTGGTCTGGTCAGGATCCAGGAGAAGAGAGCACCTAGGCGCTGCCGGATGGAAATGGGGTCGGTGGTTCAGAACATGTCATTCTTTCCTCCAAGTCCTCGGTGAACCAGTATGCCAGCGTGGTGCTGTTGGGGGTGCCAGCTTTCAAGCAGAGCAAAAAACAACCCCAAAATCTTATATCCGTGGGCTCATTCAATTCTGAGGGTTAGGAGCACCACCCTCTACCGCTCACACTTCTTGCTCTACTTCATCCCTTAAAAGGGTTTAACAATTTAGCCCAGAGTGGTGACTGCGTCCCTACCTGGGCTGGACCTAGACTGACCCTAGTAGCATTTGGAGAAACATGCAGGATGAAAGGCTCTGAGGTGGTAGAGTCATAATCACATACCGCACTCCAGTGGGATGAACCGGGTGTCAGGAGTGAATTTCTGTATCTTCTGTAGAGATGGCCTGTGTCTAGGTTAAAGCTACCCGGATTACAAGAACCACAACGGGACGTGCAATGACAGCACCAGAGACTTCTGTGTCACTAACTTACTCTGAGTTTGCCACCCTGAGGCAGCCTTACAGGTCCCAGTTCAGGAGACAGCGTGCAAAGTTTGATTGTGGTGTCTCAGCACAGTGCCACTAGGCACCATCTTGGGCAACATGCTTTTTTTCCCGGACAAAAAATTTAAACCTGCACAAGATCCTGAATCCTGCTTTTTTTTTAATTCTTTCGAGGCTCTGGGACAGTATTTTTTTTCAAGCTGGGGCTCTCCCAGCCAAGTCAGGATGCTGGGTAGCTTGAGGTGGGTAGCTTAAGGAATTTTACCCAATGGTTAGATTGGTATGGACTGCGGGCAGTTTTGCTTTCCTCTGTAGCAGGGGTTGTGGCCCTCTGCCTGGGATTTCTCGAAGACATATTAACACCCTATTTTAGAAGCAGGATGTTGGCTGCTGTGGTCCCCCTGCTTTACCTGTGGCAGGTTAAGATGGTACATCTTGTGTTGTGTCAAGGTTGACAGTAGTTTTACAAAGAGTTCATAGATTCATAGATTCATAGATGTAGGGTCAGAAGGGACCTTGTAGATCTTCTAGTCCGACCCCCTGCCCGGGGCAGGAGAGAAAACTGGGCCCAAATGACCCCAGCTAGGTAAACGTCGAGCCTCCTCTTAAAGACCCCCAGAGTAGGAGCCAGCACCACTTCCCTTGGAAGTTGGTTCCAGATCCTAGCCGCCCTGACAGTGAAATAGCGCCTCCTGATGTCTAGCCTAAACCTACTCTCTAGCAACTTATGGCCGTTATTCCTTGTTACTCTGGGAGGCGCTCGGGGGAGCAAGGTCTCTCCCAAATCCCGCTGGTCCCCCCTAGTAAGTTTATAGACGGCCACCAGGTCCCCCCTCAGCCTTCTCTTGTGGAAGCTGAACAGGTTCAGGTCCCGTAGCCTCTTCTCATAGGGTCTGCCCTTCTGTCCCCGGATTATGCGGGTGGCCCTCCTCTGGACCCTCTCGATGCTGTCCACATCCCTCCTGAAGTGCGGCGCCCAGAACTGGACACAGTACTCCAACTGTGGCCTGACCAGTGTCACATGGAGGGGGAGGATCACCTCCTTGGCCCTGTTTGTGATGCATCTGTGGATGCAGGACAAGATGCGGTTAGGCCTACTGACGGTGTTCTCGCATTGTCGGCCCATGTTCATCTTGGAGTCAGTAATAACTCCAAGATCTCTTTCTGCCACTGTGCTTTCAAGAAGGGAGTTCGCCAGCCTATAGGTATGCTGCTGGTTCATATTTGAGCTTATATTATGGATTTGTATAGGATGGTTTGGATAGGGATGATCCTGCCTCAGGCAGGGGGTTGGACTAGATGACCTCTGGAGGTCCTTTCCAGGCTGACTTCTCTATGAATCTATGCTTCCAGGTATGTTGGGATGTCAGTGTAGCAGGAGTCTGCTACTGCCCAGTCTGCACCTGTTATGTGGCTAAGTAAAGGTCTTTGATTCCACTTCAGCACCTACAGCAGGCGTATCTGCCTCCCCGCCCTGCTAACACCAACTCAGACAAATCTCGCGTGGGTTGGAGGTCACTGGCTCTGCACTGCCATGAATCTTTTGACTTTTTCCTGAGCTACCCAGCAGGAGTCACCTCACCTTCAGCCACTTCACTACCTGTGCAAATGTCCCTCCCACTCCATAGGGTGAGCACAGCCTACTGCATGTTTGTATGGGCTTTTACATGGGAGATGGATTTTTTTTCCCTGTGGCCATAGAGTACAGGACTAGGAACAACAGGCTCAAGCTGCAGCAGAGGAAATCTAGGCTGGGGATTGGGAGGAACTTTCTAGCTATGAGGGTGGTCAAGCACTGGAACAGGCTACCTAGAGACATGGTGCAATCTGCATCCTTGGAAATTTTTATGAGCATGTTGGACAGACGCCTGGCTGGATTGGTTTGGTGAAGGAGGATCCTGCCTTGAACAGGAGGCTGGACTAGATGACCTTGTTGAGGTCCCTTCCAGCCCTACTTTCCTATGATCTGACCATGGGGCTTAAAGTACTACATGGGACACAGAATAGCCCCTTGGGACTTGGTGACTTCTCTGGGAGACCATCCCAAAGCCATCCAAATGGCCAGTTGCTCTTCTGGGTGTTCAAAGATATGATCAGGCAAGGGGGTTGGATTCTCTGTATTCATTTTAATTGCTTGGTGCTTGTCTATTCTGGAGATATGCCCAAATGTTTGATAGAGGGGTTTCATTTCTCCCTGAACTATTAAGTTCTGGTTCTTTCTAGAGACAGAGAGGCAGATTAGATGGATCAGTGGTGAATCCTGAGTTCTTAAAAAGCAATCTAAGCAGCTATCCAGGGGCTTCTCATTCAGTCTCCTCCGAGAAACCTAGAATATGGACTCTGTTGCTCCTCAATAAGTTTTAACCCACAGTAGGTTGGAGTCATTAGAGCTGTGATGGGAGTTGACACTTCCACCTCTTTGTCTCAGTTTGTACCCACAGGGGATTCCCCCACAGTGAAGGGAAGGTGGCAGCAGCACTAGTTTTTCTTGGAGATTTCTGTTGGGAGTAGGGGGCTATCTTGAAGGTACTGGCCATGGCTCTGGTGGGGTCCTGATGGTGAAAGCTGATGTGGAAATGTCCAGAATGGACACAGCCCCCAGTGCCCTTGGATACACCCCTTTCTTCCTGACCAATACCACCCATGTCTGAAGCCAGCCTCTGGTTGTGGTGCATGGCAAGTTGAGGAGGGAGCAGAAAGCAGAGCAGCAGATTAGGCAGAAAGCAGAACACAGCAGCAGATCAGACAAAGGAAGGGGATCAGAGTGGCCATCAGGGAGAATGCTAGCTTAAGCCATCATGGTTCTTTGAGTAGATGTGGTATCTTTTATTAGACCAACTGAGTAGTTGGGAAAAAGTTCTTAGCAAGCTTCATCAAGGGCAACTGTGCCCAAAAGCTTGCTAAGAACTTTTTTCCAACTACTCAGTTGGTCTAATAAAAGATATCACATCTGTCCAAAAAACCTTGCCTGCCTTAGACTAACACAGCTACAACCAAACACCCAGCTTAAGCTGGGGCATGCCTACCAAAAAGGTTGGCCCCACTGTCTTAAGTGATGCTGCCCCCTTCGCCCCTCCAGGGAGAGAGGGTGTTGCAGCTGCTTTACGATGCCCTGCAACCCTATGATCCCAGCAGCATTCCTG